TGATGCAATGGCATTGATTTGCTCTGAAAGGGTGATGGCCCATTTCTGAACCCTAGAGATACAAAAAAAATTGTATTGAGTGAGTGTTTACCCAGAAAAATATATTCTAAGAATGTTTTGCTAACGTTCCCATTAAGTTATGAAAACTTTATTTCTGATTTTTACATGAATGCTCAACTTTTTTTTTTTAAAGAATTCTTGGTTATAAATGTTAAGGGAACATTTTCATCTTATAATTTTGCAAACATTATGGGAACATTATTTTTGAATGATAAATATTCTTTATCTAACTTTGAAAGAAGCTTGCCAGAACGTAGCTACAAGTTCTGTGAACGTTCCCTGTTAGCTGGGTTGGTACACAGCAAAGAATTTAGTTGAAATTCCCCTGGTAAACTTAAAATTATTAAACAAATGTCTACATTTGCTTTGATCAACCCCCCCATCTGCCGGTCTATAAATATACATAATTGTCTTAGTTTGCAGGTGGCCCATAATCACTTGATAGGATTCCAAGTAATCTATTGATCTCTGACCATTGACAGTGAATGGAGACTTTGCAATCCAAACTCAAACAATCCTATACATTAAAAGTACATATGAGGTCACTGTAAATGATATAAACATCACAAATATACAGTCTATAATAAAACACCTCTGTCATGCTTGATGTACAGGGCACAAAATACCAAATGAAGCATTGTGGTTAGTCATATAAAGAGCCTTGTCAGCATTTTGTCATAAGAATTGAGGTCTTGGTCAGTCTGTCTTAACGTCATCAGTCTTATGTTGAAGAATCTCTGTTGACCTGAAGGAGTCTGGGATCATCATGAGGGCTAGGGAATTGTGTTAATAGCTTGGCAATGTTGCAGATACTGATACTATTACAGCGAGGGAAATCAACAGGGAGTCAAGAACAACCCAACAGATTGGGAAGCAACCATGAAGATATTATTTTTTTTCCCTGCATAAGCAAAATTTAGGAATAAAAGTACAATATGGTGCTGTATAAAATAATTTATTTTAAAACAAATTGTACTTTTTTCATTTAAGAATCCTGGGGAAAATCATGGTTTTCACAAAAACATTAAGCATCGCAACTGTTTTCAACATTGACAATAATAAGAAATGTTTCTTGAGCAGCAAATCATCATATTAGAATGATTTCTGAAGGATCATGTGACACTGAAGACTGGAGTAATGATGCTGAAAATTCAGCTTTGCATCACATGAATAAATTACACTTTAAAATATATAAAAGTAGAAAACATTTTTTTTAAAGTGAAATAATATTACTGTCTATACTGTATTTTTGCTTAAATAAACGCAGCTTTACTGAGCATAAGAGACTTCCAAACTTTTGAAATATATACTAATTATTATTGAATATATTTTTAAATATTGATGACACTATTTTTTTTTTTAAATGCAGTGGAACAATTTTGTCCTTGAATTGTTGTAGTTATATAAATCCAAAAAATCTAAAAATAAACATTGGGATTAAGGTCAAGAGAAAAACAGTTTTCAGCAATAAATCCTTAAAACACAGATGCACTGGCCTAGTCATGAAATATGCTTGGTGTTACATCCCGAGCTGGGCTAGTACACATACTGTTATGAAACTATCATTTTTATGCATGAAAATAACGTTATCAGTACTCAAAAGCTCAAGTCCAGTGATATTCCTTTATGCACAGGGCCTGTGGCCTGTATTGCCATCTGTGAAGGAGCTGGTGTGATCCATGAGTGTATCAAACAGAGCCACTTCAAGTCAGGACATTAACCTACTAGTTGACAATGTCTGAAAAAATTAAAATCATAATTTCCTCACTTTCATGTTGTTCCAAACCTGTATGACTCTTCCTCTGTGGAACATAAATGAAAATATTGTGAGTGTTTTTAATGGACAAAAAATGTCTTCAGAACATTATTTTATGCTCCACGGAAGAAAGAGTCATAAAGATTTGAAATGGCATGAGTGTGAGTAAATGACGACAAAATTTTAATTTTTGGGTGTACAAATAGTTTACATACTTTTCAATAATAATTCTGTATTAGTAATGAAAGAATTATCCATATACAACCAAATTATCTTGCGTCTCCACCTTAAAATATTTTCACAGCTGCTTAGCTTACGTATGTTGCAAAGTGTCTGCCATCTGCTATTGCACTGAACGACTTCCAAGCCTCATGAGAACTGAATTTTACACCTCAACAAACTCAGGGAATCAGGGAATTACTAAAAATGATCATACAACTCTCAGAGCAATTTCTCTTCCTGTCTCATTTGAAATTCCAATGTGCATGAAACTGAAGATGGCACAGAGCAAATTACACCCAGAAATAGTCTGGTCTTCCAAGCATCTACCAAACCATTGATAAAATAAAACAGGACAGTAACACAATGGAAACAAAATTAATATTATATCATCAATAGTAACTTTTACCCAAAAATACATCAAACAAAGAATTTAGCTTAATTTGATATTGTTTGATATTAATTTTATATTGTTTTCCTTAAAAATCAAACCAGGGATGCCTATAAGAATAAAACAGATGAAAGTAAGGTGAATCTTACGTTTCAGGTGGAATCTTCATTTGAGCATGTGTAAAAATACACAGCCAGCCTGTGTAGACCATGAGGAATGTGACCCAGGAAGACCTTCTGATGTGACACATGATGACATCTATGCTTAAGAGCCACATCGGTAAGGTGAAGTCATGAGAAGACGTTTCAAAGAACCCACTACTCCAGTAAGACGACTAAAACCCAACTTCCATTCCACTCACTCCCATTCATGTTGGCCTAAATGGTTTCAAACGTCTCTTACGACCCTTCTGAGCTCCTCATCAACTGAATTTGCACATCCAAAAGTTCTTGGAGGGCCTTGAGTTCCACGCCGGAAGACTTCTAATCATGCTCAGATCTTCCAGAAACTTCTCAAACTCCCATTGGGCTGCTTTGAGTAATCAATGCTTCTCATATTCGGGATGATACCGATAATCCAAATAATCCACTTAATGCTACCATTAAGTCCTTTTTCCTTCTTGTTAAAAGCAGGCAAACATGATATCAATATTGTAAGATTCTCTCCATCATGTCATCTGCAAAGCATCACATCTGAAAGGTGTTCTCCAAAGTTCCATGGTTCCTGACACAAAATAATCCCAGTTGTAAATAATATATGAATCAAACGAAAGGCAAGCACACTGCTGCAGTTGAGATTCACTTCCAGAGCATGCAATCCTCCATCACCCAATTTACAGTGTAATCCACTTGGATTACAATCTCTCCACCCAGTGGGTTCATAAGCGTGGGGAGGGGAAATGGAGAGAGGAGAAAAGGGTGGGCACATTGGAAAGACGCAGCGGATTGGGCGAGTAAGAGTTTTGTTGTCTCTAAGAGGATTAATAGTGATTTCAGGAGGTTGGCCCATGTCCATCCAATCAGTGTAAGTGAACAGCTTTGGTTTGTAGAAGGACAAGGCCATCTAGTGGGGACACGGTCATTTGTTTTGTATCATGATTTGCAGCCGTCCTCATGCCGTTCCATCCATCTCATATGACTTTCTTTCTTAAGTTTTTGAAGAATCATTTATTATAATTGTATGTAAAACTCCAGTTCCTGTTCAGTTCATAGTAACTGTATAGGAAAAAACAACCAGTAGGCTATTTTATTCATAATTTTTCCTTTTGTGTCCCATGGAAGGAAGAAAGTCATTCAAGTTTGAAGGTGAATATATGATAACAGATTTTTCCTTTTTGGCTGATCTTTCCATTTAATAATATTTATTGCTATTGTGATCTTTATCAGTGATCTCAGAGGGCTGAAATATGTCTTGACTTCCCGTTGATGCATGTTATCCAGAAAAGCCCTGCCTGATGTACATCTGGGTCTGGGAAATAAAAGAAATCAAATAAACAAGCACAGTGTTCATGATTCAGAGGCAGAATACAGCAGAGATCATCATGATCAAACTTCATTCAGAGAAAAAAGGTCAGACACACTTACAAGCATATAAAACTCTTCAGCCAATGGTATCCAGTCCAGGAGGATGCTTACTTGAACAACCAGTCCGAACAACTGAAAGAAGAAAAACAAATCAGAAAAGCAAAACGTCACAATGTTAAATTTATACAACATTTTATCATTCGAGAACTGTAGCTGTAAAGCTGGTTTGTGGTTATTGATTTCAGGGGGTTAACAAACGCACACATTTCATCACATCATTGCTCTTTACCCAAACTGAAGTGGCAAATTACTGTAGGTTCAAACTATATACATTTAACACATTTCTAAAACTTATTTCTAACGTATTATGCTCAGTGATTACACTTTTCCGAATTGAGCCGAAGTGAATGTGTAATACCTACGTAAAACGAATCGTTGCTGTCACACAATCTTTACCATTTTTTTTTAAAACAGCAACTGTTTTATAGTATAAAATCCCAAATATGACTCACACTAAAATGAATATGTAATGCAAACATGTTGAAGTTAACCGGACATGCAGTCAGTTTATTATGCAACGAGGTGTTTCCACACAAAAGCAGCTGTATGGCTAGTGCCAATTAAGTAAGTAACTATATTGAAACATATTCACAACTTTAATGCGATATCATATTAATATAGAGAAGTAAAAAAAAACTCTCTTTTGATGAATTCTGTATAGTCAAATATGATAGCCTGTTGCTTTCATAGTTTTTGTCTCAGCTTAGTATCTTGCTAGTCGTCAAATTCCTTCAGACTGCACTGTTCTTTGGTATTATTGCCATTTATCTCTCAGCAGTTTCCTGATTTTTTCCTGAAAAAATCTCCTTAATTGACTTCCATTCAGAAAGAAAAGTTCTCTAACGTCAAATTAACATATCGATTTACAGAGATAAAACAACCTTACGTCCTTACATCAATTTATTTTCGACAACAAGGCTGGAAGATCCTGGGGGAGGAGCTCCGTGCTGCCATTCGTTTTGGCCAATCAGAGTGCAATACAGTCCATACGGGCCGGCCAATCAAATCGCGGGATTTGTGTCTTGTCTCGGGCTCGGCATGTTCTCATAGCCTTGCTTCTAACCGGGTCCACGTGTACGCAGAGGTATGTGCTGCTAACAGAGCTATTGTGTACAAATATAAAGGTTTACAATGCTAATAAGTGTTTGTTTTTTTGTCGAGGTGTTTTACAATGTAGTGTTATGTCAGTTATGTATTGTTATTACACGTAAACCCTACAAATTACGTTGTTTCTTTGCTAAATGATTAGCTAGCCAGTGCTAAATGACCATCTACTCCTTTCATAGTTTTTATATAATCAAATATGGAGTTAATATCGATCATGCTTCTCAATTTAGTGACTTGCTAGCTGCATAATTTATTAAGCTTGCACTGGTCTTGATATTATTTGTCATTTAGTTTTTTTAGGAGAGAGATTTAATGTCATGATTCTCGACTTACAATGTAGGCTACATCCTCCACACATGTTGATTGACACAGTGACTTCTTTTTTGACAGCTGTTAAACTACATGCTGACATAATGTCTGCTTTACCCTGGAAATACTTCACCAGCCATGGTGTGGACCGAAACATCTTGTCAGCCTCAAACAAAGAAACAACCACTATTTCTCATCAAGCTAAAAGATGTAGACGATGGAAAAAGAATAAAATAAAAGATTCCACCATTGAATTGTCATGTGACCAGAAAAGAGGAAAGAAAAGAAAGTCAGATGAGCTTCTGGAAAACAAGACGGGGAGTGTTGAACATGGAGATGTTTCGGAATCTGTATCTGAACAGTCAAATCATGTGCAATTCAAAAGGCCTAGAATAACCCCTCATACACTGACTGGTGAAGCTGAGTCTGCACTACCTCTCACTGACAGCTGGGAAGTGGACAGTGGCTTTTCATCTGAAACCAGCCCTCCCACTAGTGGCAGGAGTTCGCCATGTGTGGGAATAGACCACTCTAGGCTAGTAGCTATGGACTGTGAAATGGTCGGCACTGGACCTGGTGGTCGGTGTAGTGAAGTGGCGCGCTGTAGTATTGTAAATTATTATGGTAGTGTTATATATGATAAATATATTTTACCTCGGCATCCAGTCACAGACTACCGCACAAGATGGAGTGGCATTAGGAAACATCATTTAGCACAAGCAGTGCCTTTTGAGGATGCTCAAAATGAGGTGAGATGGCACTCTTTAAACCACTGTATTCTGTTCTTGTCGGTTTATTAGGTCTGCTTTATAAAAAAAAAAAAAAAAAATTGTGTGTAGGTGGGTTTACAATGTGTAGTAGTTTTGAACTATAAGGATTTTTTCCTGCTGGCTCATTGAGGCCAGTAGTTCAGATTTTTAATTGCCTTGTCTATAATTTCACTGGTCCAACCACAAAAATGTAAAAATAAAGGAAGTGGAATGAATATTTATATAATATTATTAAATTAAGTTAAAGGTATTATTAATATAATTAATAGTATAAATTCTAGGGTTGTAACGGTTCTCAGTAAAAAATCTAACCGTACCATGTTAGTAATTTAGTAACTTGAGTGATAATATTTTATATATACATTATACTTATCTATTATATTGCTTATGTTCTATTTATATGCCTATTATTTATATTGGATTTAGTATTGTTTCCTTTTTACAATTTACGGCAGCTGTTCTAAAATATATTTTACATATTTCTAAAAAATTTAAGTGCATTTTAAGTTTAAAAATATGTAAACCTTTTTATACACTAGTTACATTATTGCTTTTCAATAGCCTAGTTGTAGCTGGAAATTATACTGCTTTAATGTAACTCCATAACATCATTGTTGAGCCCTGCTTATAAACGACTACTAAATTTCATAGAATATGACTGAAATAACACCATGCGCTCTTTTTTGTTTTGTTTTTTTCTAGATTGCCAACATCCTCAAAGAGAAGATTATTGTTGGCCATGCCTTATTTAATGACTTCCTGGTGCTTGACATCTCCGTCCCGGCACGAATGATTAGGGATACCTCTTCCTGTAGCTTGCTGCGGAAGTTGTATAATTCTGCTGAAAAATGCAAAATCTCTTTAAAGAAACTGGCTCAGACTCTTCTTAATAGGACCATACAGGTAAGATCAGGTCATTTTAATGAGATAAACTGGGGACATCAGGCTTGGTGTATATACATTTTCTCTTTACTTGCTGCTTGTTGACATACTGGATATTTTTCTCAGATTAGCAGGATGGGTCACTGCTCTGTAGAGGATTCCCGTGCTGCCATGGACCTGTACAAGCTGGTAGGGGATGAGTGGGAAAAATGCATCCTGTCCTGGGTTTCAAACACGGACCGTAATTCAAACCCCAACAACTCCCTAAAGCACTACATGGAAGACAAGTACTGGCCAGAAAGTTCGATGGTGGAAGACCAGAACTGGACGGAAAGTTTGATGGCGGAAGACCAGTACTGGACGGAAAGTTTGATGGCGGAAGACCAGTACTGGACGGAAAGTTTGATGGCGGAAGACCAGTACTGGACGGAAAGTTTGATGGACTGCAGCGTCCAAGACCAAGAGTTAGGATAACGATGCCAACCTCAATGCCACGAATCGTCTTTGTTGTTTAATGTTATTTAAACCTCAAACTTGACATGTTAACATTCAGTAAGGAAAGGTGGAAGTGTAATTTGTAGAACTGTAATATTGCACTTGAAAAACTTGTTTAATAACTTAAACTTTGACTGTAAAAGTTGATAATGTTCATAAAGGGATTTTTAAGTTAATAAGCTTTTTGAATCTACACAGTCTGTATTTTAGGGATTAACTCCATTGTGAGTTTCTCATTTGTATGATCAATGTTATCAACCTGTTATGATATCAATGATATCAATAATTATGCTTTCTGTGGAGTTGCAGATAGCATTATTGTTATATTGACAATGCTCTTCATCCTGAAAACACATTCATGTCAAAAGTTTAAATACAAAAATGTCTAAATAAAGATTATGGATACGAAATTACTCTGAAACTAATTCACTAGCGACCAAAGGTTAGTCGAAAAAGCACTGTCGCTTTCAAACAAAGAAATTACTGTCGGTCAATGTGGCGAAATTGAATCCAAGTGAAATCTGCATGTGGAACTTTTTCGTCCTCGCACGAAATTCCATATTTACTATCGAAATAATCAGATTTCACTCACGAATATATTCAATATATGTGACCGACTGTGCTTTAACTGTCATTTGGGTTGTAGATTATCTGCATGCATCAGGTTTGTTTTTGTAGAAAGTTGTGTCTTTTGTTGTGGGTAGAGCCATCATTTATTTTTCTCACAAACGGACCCTCACGCTACCCAAAGGAGATCTTTGGGGGTCACTTTGTAACAGAGATCTAGCTCTTTATGACTTCGTATGCAACATGAATGTTAACATAAACACAACCCAGCCTAAAGTTTAACTGTAAATCCATAATATCGCTGGCTTGTGGCGTCAACTCTTTAGGATTATAATGTAGGCCTAATCATTTGATTTCAGGAAGATGATCAGAACTCCCAAAGATTACATGATTAAAGTAGTTTAAATTGTAATTGGTCACGGACAGCCCCAAAGCAATAATGCTCCTAATTCAGTTTTTGCCATCCCGTTTGTGCTTCACACTGCTGCCATGCCATCAATGACTCTTCAGTGGTCACTTGTGCCATCTGATTTGGCGAGGTAAACAATTATACAAGCTCTCCTGTAATTAAAAGCATATAGCTTAGCTGCCGTTACTTCCGTTATCACTAAACATATTTTGGTCCAACCGAATATCGTGTCACTCTCTTGACCTATGTGGTGTTTCTTTGCTCTCACAGTAGCTGTATTGTCAAGATGTACATTTCAATACCCTGAATCTAGTGTTTTGGTGTTAAGCTTTCACTGGCACATGACAAAGGTTAGATTGAAACTGATGTAATGGAAGCAATGTCTTAAAAGTTCTTCATTTGTCTAAATATTCTGCTTTGGCTCAAATTGGCTGTAACAATATAACCTACAAAGTACCTGCATAATAAAAAATCATCAAATTTATTGTCTATCCACTATTTGTTTGTCATTGCCTTTACAAAAGAGTCGTGAAGCTGAGACTCTGAGCAGCTCTGGTAGCACAGAGACGACTATTGTGCTGCAATCCCACTGCTTTAGTAACAGACCCTCACATTCAAAGGCTAAATCCTGCTTTAAGGGATTAAAGCCACCCCACCGGTCAATGTATCACCAGGAAACATTGTAGTGACGTGGGAGGCATTCTGGACTCACACCACTGGCTACTTACAACTTAAAAACTAGTACTGATTTGTGCCCTTTGAAACATATATGGCCCAAACTCTCGGTCCATCCTCTACAACGTACCTTGTACGAAAATTGTACCTAAATATACAGGACATACTGTAAATAATTTTAATCGCTGACTATTTTTATTTACCTATAACTATTTTCTAATCTGATTCTAGTGAAAATGCCTACTTCTATATCCTGGCATGTGAGAACACAGCTTTGTGTTTAAAGTCTCAACTCAAGGTCTATTTCCAGACACCGTTCACGTTGCCAGCACATATTTTTCACTGGTTCTGGAATGCAGTGAAATCTTATTGGTCCATGGATTGCCAAATCCTCCTAATTTAACCTTGAATACCTTTGACACATTCTTGTCCACTCTCTTTGTGAATGCTATATTTTAATTCAGTCAAGGTTTGGGGTGGGGGAAGGCTTCTCTTTATTAAAATATTAGAGCCATGATGCTATTGGCTGCAGGCTATTGGTCAATGTTCTCTTTGCTCCTTTTCTCAATGTTTTTCGCTGATTAACATCAAATCTGCTCTGCATAATCCCATATGACGCTGTTAATCCATCAGGGGTTACACTACAAATTATTAAAGCCACCTGTTCCTCACCTCACTCAGTTCTGGTGGCTTGAGCAGGTAAGTGCCAATTCCTGCCTATAGATGGGATTTGTTTTGTTGTTCATGTTTTAGAATATTTTAAAATATTAATAATGATGATGGATGGATAATTCTTACTTTTAAAGTGACGGTGATTGTAATGAGGTCAACTTTGTTTTGTTTTTTTGTTTTTTTAAGAAAACCATCTTTTAATAAGAAGAAATCAGTTTTATTTTATTGGTTTTTATTGCTATTTTATTGGTAATATTTTATTTCATTTGTTTGATTATTTTGGCATTTTATTACTCTAATGGTGAGTTTAAAAAGACTTCATACAAAGCAATACCAATAATAATTGAAATTATTATTTATATTGCTCAATTTTTCTTTCTGAAGACTACACAAATCATGAGATTAATCACAATTATATGACAGCCCTAATTTTAACAATACATAATAAGAAAACAATCTTTTATTAAGAAAAAAAAGATGTTATTTGTTTTGTTTTATTATATATATATTTTTTTTTTGTTGGTATTTTATTACTCTAAAAGTGGGGAAATATAGCCTACTTATTAAAATATTATGTGAAAAATGTAGTATTATATTTATATAATTTATTTTCCTTTAGTAAAATGACAATATAAAAGCCATTTATTTAATTTCAGAAACAACATGTTGTCTTTATTATGTGTTGTTTTTTTCCTCAAACATTATTAGTGTTTATATAACATTTTATGAAATACATATCTGCCTTGCAAGGGGAATCATCATATTTAGGGGTCCTCCTGGGCATCAAAATGAAAACCCCTGCTTTCAGTTGAAACATTTCTCTTTTTTTTCTTACAAAATTTGGTTAATCAAACTAATTAGTGTTTGTCTTAAATGTTAAGTATAGCAGAACAACTTATTTGTTATGATGATAGAAGTTTGACCAAGTCACTCAACTTTTATAATCTCTCATGGTTTGGAAAAACCGTGATACCCTTGTCATAAAAACTTTTTTGTTGGCAAGCATTTTTCTTGTGATAAATATCTCTCTTTCCACAGAACATTGTACTGAGCATCTGAAGCAATGGCTGTTGTTGTAAGTACACTTTTGTTTATTTTGTCTTATTTTTCACATTAAGATGTAAAACCACATTCAATGATGCTTACTGACCATATTATGTTATTATAATAGAGAACTTTTACACTGTTATATTAGCATTAACTCTGTATTTTCCACTAATCTGAAGTCATAAGTCCCTGTTATGTCACACAACGTGATCTCACCCTCTTTCCTCCAAACTGTCACTCATTTAGTGAACAAATGTTTTAAGAACAAGCCGTTTTTAGTACAGGGATAGAACTATGAACATTAGCGGCTTATCCCCAATCTCAGACCCGGTTTACTAGGCTTTATGCAATTCATGTGAGTGAGCTTAGCATTGGCCCACACTAGCTTCCATTGATTAGGGCCACTAAACTAAAGTGTTTGCTTCAAACTCAGGATTAGGATGTTTTCATGAGTCTTTCTCCATAACTTTCTATAGAGTGGATCATTCCGGATGGTGTCCGAGGAGGAGCAGGCCCTCAGGGCTAAACTGGAGCACCTCACGGTCAAAGATCACGGGCCGGTGTTCGGATCCTGTGAACAAATACCCGACCACACGGTGCAGAAGGTGTGAGCAAGTCTTTAGAAAGTTTGAATGCATATAAACGCAATTAAACTGAACTCAGCATTTTAGCTGTCTAAATATGAATCTACTATAGCTAATTCACTATTAGCATTGTTTGCTAAGTCAAACGATGCTATTATTATATTTCAACCACATAGTGACCACCCAAAACAACCTAGTAACAACCTAGCAAACATCCAGCGTCATGGTGACACAAGATTTTTTGAGAAAATGTACAAATTTAATTACCACAAGCTGCTAACAAGTTAGCATACTTGCACATTCTGACTAATAACAAATGTTGCATTTTCAACTTGTGATGTCATTGTAGGCTAAAGATGAGCTAAATGAGACGGATGAGAAGCGAGTGTCAGCCGTAAAGGAACTAAGAGGTATTATGAAAGAGAAGGCGGATTCTGGAGACGAACTCGCTAAAGGTGTTCAGGACACTTTTGGGGAAAAAGCCGATGGCGTGCTGGTGAGGTTCATTCGTGCCAGGAAATATGAAATAAACAGGGCCTATGAACTCATGAAGGGTAAGCAGTTTTGTCAGATAGGTTTATGATTGTTGCCATGCTACTCGCCCTAAAACAGACTACTATTGGTTTTATTGTCTTAAAGGTTATGTGCGCTTCAGACGGGATTACCCAGAGCTCTTTGAAAACTTGACCCCTGAGGCTGTCCGCAGCACCATTGAGGCCGGATACCCAGGGATCCTGTCGAGCAGAGATAAATACGGCCGTGTGGTGCTGCTCTTCAACATTGAGAACTGGGACTATGAGGAGATCACCTTTGATGAGGTGATTTTTTTGTTTGTTTGTGATAATAAGCTGAACTGGTAGGATTGTATATTGATTGATTTCCCTTTTTTTATTGTATTAATAAAAATGCACACTACCGTTCAAAAGGTCAGTAACATTTTAAAAAAGGGAAAAAAAAGAAGATATTAACACTTTTTACTATTTACTATTTTTTACTTACTTTACTATTTAGCAAGGACCAATTAAATTGATCAAAAGTGACAGTAAAGACTTCTACATTGTTAATTCTATTTCCCATAAATGCTGTTCTTTTGAACTTTCTATTCATCAAAGAATCCTGAAAAAATATTATGGTTTCCACAGAAATACTGAGCAGTTTTCAACATTGATAATAATAAGAAATGTTTCTTGAGCAGCAAATCAGCATATTAGAAGGATTTCTGAAGGGTCATGTGACACTGAAGACTGGAGTAATGATGCTGAAAATTCAGCTTTGCCATCACAGGAATAAATTAAATTTTAAAATATATTTAAATAGAAAATAGTTGTTTTATATTTGAATAATATATTTCACAATTTTTCTGAATATTTGAACATTTTTATGTTTTTATATTTATTATGTATTACATTTCTTTTTTTTTTTACTTAAATTATTTTTTAAATAAAAATATAATGTATTATTTATTTTTATGGTAGAAAATGGCATGTTTACATTGCTGAAAAACAAAACAAAAACAGACTAAGCCTGCTTCATGTATTGATATTGTGTTTGCTCCAGATCCTCAGAGCCTATTGTGTGATCCTGGAGAAGCTTCTGGAAAACGAGGAGACACAGATCAACGGGTTTTGCATCATTGAAAACTTCAAGGGTTTCACCATGCAGCAAGCCTCCGGCATCAAACCTACAGAGCTGAAGAAAATGGTGGACATGTTGCAGGTGACTTTTATTACAATAAATCCAAGTAGCATTCATTGAAAGAGAAAAATAAATAAATAAATACTTAAATATATTACAATTAAGGGGGAGTTAATCAATATATATTGCATATAATTTAAAGAGTTTTAGGTATTCCTTTTTAAACTGCTTTAATTATTGAAATCCAAATTAAATACCACAAAACTTAGAGCAACTCTAACAAATCTACATTTGTGTAAATAAAACTTGCCTTTAATCAAAATATTATTACGTAAAAATTCAACCTCTTTGTTTTGCATTAAAAATACCAAACTTAACCATGTGAAATTCATAAAGATAGGTATTACATTATGAAACCTACTAATAATAACATAATTAAAATCAGTAACTGAAAACTTGCTTCTATGTAATGCTGCAACTACGTCACTAGGTGTCAGCGTAAGTCCAAGATGACATTAAAACAACATTGAGTGCACCGTTAACACACTCTAAATGAATGTCAATCTTTATATTATGCTAATTGCTTACATTTAATTTCTGTTTCTGTATGGCAGGATTCTTTCCCTGCACGTTTCAAAGCAGTGCACTTTATCCACCAGCCCTGGTACTTCACCACCACCTACAATGTGGTCAAACCCCTGATGAAGAGCAAACTGCTGGAAAGGGTAAGGGGTTTATTGCAAATAATTAATGTAGAAATAATGATTTATAATGGACTCTCTGATTTTGACTTTCTGTGTCTTTGAAGGTGTTTGTCCACGGTGATGAGCTGGAGAACTACTACAAGGAGTTTGACGCTGAAATCCTGCCTTCAGACTTTGATGGGAAAGGCCTGAAATATGATGGCAAGGTCACAGCAGCACATCTTTTCGACTGAGCTCCTTTTTATCCGTCACTGTACAAGAATGCGACAGTGTGTTGTTTTAGTTGTGTTGTATTACAGAATGATCAAATGTGTTTTGTCTGAGAGTGAACTCAGCAGCATAGAGATTTCCCAGTTCCAAACAGCCATCCTCACAGGTCTCCAGATGTCATCAAAGAGGAATGAAAACAGATAAGATCTGGTAGTTCTCTGTGACCCTGCCTTCTATAAGAGTGTTTTACATTCCTTGCTAATCTGGCGCTGGGCCGTTTCCAAATTTACCCCAAAACATTGATATTCTTTTGAAGCACATGCAGAGTCCAGACTTTTCTGTTGTTTCTCTTGTTAAGTGAGAATGTTAAAAGCATATTTACAAGAATATATAATGTTCCAAATGTATAACTTTCTATATTATAACAGTTATGTTATATCAGCAATAAAGTGCACACTTGAAATGACAACTTTATTCCATTATCATGCATTTCCTTTAAAAGACAATAAATAAAATCCATTTGGAATGTCAAACATTGTGCTTGAGTGCTATATCGATCTTTTTTCTGGACAAAAATTATGGCATTTCCCACAAATAGGGTACAAAAAGGACTCTCAAAAGGAGAGTAACTACTAAAATTAAATGTTATATGATGTCATGCTTAAAATAAACTTAATAAATTTGACGCAAGTGATTGCCTCAATTTCATTTAGTTTTTCCAGCTTATTCGGGTTTACAGTGTGCTGAACACAAATATTCTACTTTTACATTTTGAAGAATATTGCACTGTAGAAAATTATATGATCAATAAGTTGACAACATATGTTTTTACATTGCTTTAACTCATCAAAATAAGTTAAGCAATTAAAAAAAATTATAACATTTATTATTTAAACTACTTTGAAGTTGTTTCAATTTAAAAAAAAACAGATTTTTTATTGTTATACAAGATTCAACCAATTATTTAAGTCGGTTTAATGTAATTTAAACTTGGATGTTTAGGTCATTCTATAGAAATGACCTAAACATCCAAGTTGATTGTACTCTACTAAAAATCATAAATGAGTTCAGATTAGATATTGTCTGTTTCCAGATACTGTCAAGAAGAGATTTTACGTGGTTATCATTCAATGACAATTCAAGACGTGAGGTGAAAAGGCTAAACGATTTTCAGAGTGCAATAAAAACACCATATGTCATTGTTCTTACCTTGGTTTAATGTAACATTTAAAGCAAATAATTGGACATGTATTATTGGTCTAATATAACGCAACAAAGAGAATGATAGTAAGAACAACAGAGATTGAAAAGAAAAACATATTTTCACCATTGTAATAAAATAGTGATAAAAATGTGTGCTTATAAAAGAGGCCAATACAAGGAGACATTCCCAGACAAATGAATAATGCTACAATCGTTTGTGCTCCCATCTACAGCAAACACTTAACTACATTTACTGAAAATAATTGTGCCACTGAAGCAGCAATAAAGTGACACATTTAAAAATGGAATAAAGTGTCAATAAAACACAAGGCAACCTGAAAGACTATTCAAAAGAAACTTATCTAAATATTAACATCATTTTCAAACTAATCAAAATTAACATCTCACAAAGGTGAATTGACAACAGATACGCTGACAACATAGTATAGTAAAAACTATGTAAATGACAGCTGGTGAACTTGTGTTAGTTACTAGTCTTAACCTCTTTACCATCTCCTCTTGCCAAATATGTTTTTCCACAAGGTTCCTTTTTAAAAACGTGTTAGGAACCCCTCTGCACAGTTTGTCCAGCTTTGTAGCGATACACCACTGACATCTGACTCAACGTACAGTCAGTGTAAATTACCATATGTGCTTTCTCGAATTCCTTCTTGAAGGTCAGAGCAAACTCTGGTGAGTCAAACCTTTAGAAACCATCATCTAACCTCAACTCAGAGCGAACAAGCAAAACTCCAGAAAGTGTTATGCTTTGTGTTGCACACTGCATTATTTTTCCTTGAGGCACGGTTGCCTGTGTTTTACCCACTGGCAGATAGCATTGGCGTAACTGACTATGACTTTGTCCATCCAGGAAAGGGGTTGAGGAAAAAGAACAGCACCTTCAAAGAAGCCGAGATGACCTCCATGCAGTGTCAGTGCAAAGATCACATTTTCCTTTTTTTCTGCGGGGAAACAGTAAGGATTTACAGTCTTTTTAGAAGAAGCATAAATGCAATAGAAACAAAACGGTGGTAACAATTCATTCATCAATGTAAAATAATAGCCTACTACTGACCACTCTGTAACTACGCTAGTTAAAGAAGAGAATTTCAATAAAGGCACCGGGGTGGCGGTACCACTGGCTTTGGCCCGTAATCGCTGCTCGCAGCTATATTTATATATATATATATATATATATATATAAAGCCGGTGGCACCGCCACCCTGGTGCCTTTAGGGTTATTGTGCACGACGTGCAAAAACGTAACCCTGCTTTGACTGTCGAAAAGAAGTGTGCTGTAGAGCTTGTATCAGTGTGGGCTCTGCAAAAGTGTGCATTGAGGGCACATGTCAACCACAAAGTATGCGAGAGCAACCTTCTGAAAGGTCAGGTCTACATCCAGGTCTACATCTGCCGTGTGTTTACATCATAGTAGTGAAGTTTGAAGCAATCAGGTGATTTCAAAGCTTTTTGAAAGTGACAGACTTCCTGCTGCCAGTTGGTGGCGCTATAACCGGGGTGGCGGTGCCGCCGGCTTTGGCCCTTTCATCGCTGCTCGCAGCTATATTTATATATATATATATACACACACACACACACACATATATATATATATATATATATATAAATATATATATATTGTTTTTTTAAGAGACAAGACAGAATATTACTTGCCTGATCTGATTAGAAAAATAGTGTGTGTGTGTGTGTGTGTGTGTGTGTGTGTGTGTGTGGCGTAATTGAACAATGTAGACATAAAGACATACTCCGTCCTTTTGTTCATACAGGACATTATTCAAACTGCAAAGTGTTTACTTATATTTGTGTACACTCGCAATAAAACACAACATTGTGCTTTTGTCAAACTATAAACTCTTGTCAAACTGTAAACTACAACTGTCACCCAACCAAAATCTCTTACACACACACACACACACACACACACACACACACACACACACACACACACACACACACACACACACACACACACACACACACACACACACACACACACACACACACACACACACACAGTTTAAAAGCAAAAAATATCAAACAATCCTATTTAAAAACAGTCTGTGGGAGCCATCTTTTGGACATTCATCATATCGCATTGGTTTTCATTTCTTGTCATCAAACATAGCCCTAATCTGTTTATTTTTTCAGTTACACATTCTACATTGATTAAAAAAGAAAAATCAAAGGTGTTTTTATTTTATACAGAAATAAATAATCTATCATTCAGATGAGAATAAAGTTAGTGTTAGTTCAAATTTTAAGGAAAACAAATATATGATCTGAAATATAGCACATTCATGTAAAATTCATTTAGGTTCGATTACCAAACATACAATCTTAATGTAATTTAAAGCAAACAATACATTTAAAATATATGGGTTGTATGACTATTTTTTAATATAAAAAGATATATATCCAAAAAGACAAGGTCTAAAGTTTAACAAGGGTTAAACTCTTGTCACTGTAACAGACACAATCTCTCTCACACACACGTCAAATCACTTACATTTTATATGCAATATTGACTTTTTTCTGTTTCAGCAGTGAAACTAGTTAAACAAAGATCACAGCAGAACCATTGCGCATCTCACAGCAACGTGTTTTCTCATTACTGAATGATTCAGCATTTTGAACGAATCGGTTGACTGAAAGATTCAATGACCAATCCATAATCTGTCTCATTCATGAATGACTCAGCCGTTCGAACGAATCGTTCGAACAAATGAATCAATGACTCGCTCATTAAGACGGTCGCCTGGCGACACCTAATGACGGTTTAGTGATATGTTTAAAAGTATCATTCTTTCAAACGATTGTTAATTAACTCATATTTGAAACATAAGCTATATATATATATATATATATAAATATATATATATATGTATATAGGGCCTATATATATATATATTATACACACACATATATATACGCAAAAATAAAATAAAAACACATTTGAAACGTGTTTGCTTACTAAATTGTGAGCTGAACGAAAGTTGCAGCAAATATCAGCAACAGGAGTCAAATTTCATTAATCACGAGAGTGAAGAGCTGACTGAAAAGATGATGACGGAATAGGCTATTTTATGTAAAAGCGCCTATTTAAGCGAATCTGTCATTGTACTCTTTTGTTGTTGTGTTTTCCGTGAAAAATAATAGACTATTGAACTCACAATTCAAGCAATCGGCCTCCAATATTGCACTAATTTTAAAGTGACACTAAAAAGTATGCGGCTGCACTGGCATTCATAACGGTGCGCGTCCATGGCGACGAGCGAGCAGAGCTGAGCGAACGTTTAGTTAATTTATTCATTCGACCGCTCTGCAAGCGCCACCATTATCAATGTGGACGTCCGTATTTAAAAGCTCTCGATCCTCAGTCACATACTAAATATGTATATAATTTTGAACACAAGAGGGCAGTATAGCCCTATGTATGAGTTGGTGTTTAAACTAAACTATCACTCAAAGAGCCCCCCCCCCCCCCCTCCCCCTCCCCCCCTCCCCACACAGACACACACAAACAGAATGGCAGGGGGACAAGAAATCTATTCAAACTACAATATCTGACTTTCTGTTGCTCTGAGCTAATGACTTTAAATTAGAAAGTCGATTGGCTTGATGAGAACAATATGCGTGGCAAGTTTTGTAACTGTAGGTAAAACGAGCAAAGTTATAACACACTTTATGTGTCCTTTTTTAGTCATAAAATTAATTTCCTCACCACGGCCAAACCGTTCGAGATATCAAAAATTCCTCCGGAATTTAGCATCATCAATGTCTTGACGTCATGCTGACCGAGTTTGCTTGAAATCCGATCAATTCCCAAGGAGAATTAAATAGAATTTCAGGGGTATGCGTTTCCAAACAAACCATGATAGCCGGCTTCCTGTTGGGATGTCGTAAAACTTAGAGCACGAAAGTTGTTCAACCTAATGAGATCTATAAGTGTACTGAGTTTCATATTATTACATGCAAGTGTCTTTGATTTATGGACAAGTGTTCGAATCCCAGTCCAGGGGGCGCTGTCGGTCCGCCCTGCCACGCCCGGGTACCAGCTTCAGTCCGGCCCTGATGGCCACGGGTTCTGACCCGTGTGCAAAGTTTCAAGAGTTTTAGAGGATGTTAAGGGCCCCAAAAGCCCTCGAAACCTTGATCAACAATAATTAAAAGCTTTGTCACTCAAACAGACACATCCCCCTCCCCCACAGACACAGAGGTATGCAGAGAGAGGGAGAGAGGGACAGAGATTACTCCAAAACATCCCATTCAAACCAAAATATCTGACTTCCTGTTGTTCGGAACCAAAATCTGTAAATTAGAAAGTTGTCCGGCTTGATCTGAACAATATGCCTACCGAGTTTTAAGATTGCAGGTAAAACTATGAAACCAACCCTCTCACTTTTGTCAAAAGGTGGCGCTACTGAGTCCCTGCACCACGCCCGTTTCTGAAACTTTGTACATGTCTACTGGCTAATATATGTGACATGTCTGTCGAGTTTCATGCAATTTCAAGCATGCTAAGAGTCTCAAAAGCATCAAAAAAGAATTTTAAAGTTTGATGTGTTGCCACGGCAACAGAATCAAAGATATCAATAATCCTTTCACAGGTCTACATCTGGCGTATGTTTACATTATACAGATGAAGTTTGAAGCAAATTGGGTTAAAATAAGAGGGTGATTTCGAAGCATTTTGAAAGTGACACACTTCCTGCTGCCAGTTGGTGGCGCTATAACTTTGACTCACAATAGTCACATCCATGTGATCGGCCTCTTACAGCGAACACACTGTTGAAGTTTCATCAAGATCAGTTAATGTATGCTGAAGTTATAACACACTTCCTGTTTCACGTTTCTCGCCATAATTTCGTTTCCTCGCCACGGCCGAACCGTTCGAGATATCAAAAATCCCCTCGCAATTTTTCATCCTCAATGTCTTGACTTCATGCTGACCGAGTTTCGTGGCATTTCTTTGAATTCTCTAGGAGAAGTACTTTAAATTCCATTGCATGCGTTTTACAAACAACCCTAAATAGCCGACTTCCTGTTGGGCTGGGGTAAAAAGTAAGAGCATGAAGTATATATGAACCGATGAGATCTATATGTGTACCGAGTTTCATATTCTTACATACAAGCGTGTTTGATTTATGGACCAAGTTTTCGGACCCCGTTCCAGGGGGCGCTGTCGAGCCCCCCTGCCACGCCCGGGTACCATCTTCACCCCGACCCTGATGGCCGCGGGTTCTGACCCGCGTGCAAAGTTTCAAGAGTTTTCGTGCACGTTAAGAGCCCCAAAAGTGCCCGAATAGTCGTAAGAAAAATAAAAGAGGAGAAAAAAAAAAAAAAATATAGCTGCGAGCAGCGATTACGGGCCCAAGCCGGTGGCACCGCAACCCCGGTGCCTTTAGTTACCTAAAGGCACCGGGGTGGCGGTACCACCGGCTTTGGCCCTTCATCGCTGCTCGCAGCTATATTTATATATATATATATATAAAGCCGGTGGCACCGCCACCCTGGTGCCTTTAGGGTTATTGTGCACGACGTGCAAAAACGTAACCCTGCTTTGACTGTCGAAAAGAAGTGTGCTGTAGAGCTTGTATCAGTGTGGGCTCTGCAAAAGTGTGCATTGAGGGCACATATCAACCACAAAGTATGCGAGAGCAACCTTCTGAAAGGTCAGGTCTACATCCAGGTCTACATCTGCCGTGTGTTTACATCATAGTAGTGAAGTTTGAAGCAATCAGGTGATTTCAAAGCTTTTTGAAAGTGACAGAATTCCTGCTGCCAGTTGGTGGCACTATAACCGGGGTGGCGGTGCCGCCGGCTTTGGCCCTTTCATCGCTGCTCGCAGCTATATTTATATATATACACACACAAACACACACACACACACACACACATATATATATATATATATATATATATATATACATATACATAAATA